ATGCCATCACCTCCACTGGCCTTGTTGTTAGCCATGCTTTCTAAGGCCCACTTGATTTCACTCTCCAGGATGTCTGGCTCAAGGTCAGCAACCACACTATCTGGGTTGTCCAGGATATCCAAATCTTTCTGGTATAATATCTCTGTGTATTCTTGCCACCTCTTCTTGATGTCTTCTGCTTCTGTTAGGTCCCTCCCATTTTTGTCCTTTATCATGTTCATCTTTGCGCAAAATGTTCCTCTAATATCTCCAATTTTCCTGAACAGATCTCTGGTTTTTCCTTTTCTGTTCTTTTCCTCTATTTCTTTGCATTGTACATTTAAGAAGTCTCTCTTGTCTCTCCTTGCTATTCTTTGGAAGTCTGCATTCCATTTTCTGTAACTTTCCCTATCTCCCTTGCATTTTGTTTCCCTTCTCTTCTCTATTTGTAAGGCCTCTTTGGACAACCACTTTGATTTCTTGCATTTCCTTTTCTTTGCAATGTTTTTTTTGCTGCCTCCTATATAATGTTACGAGCCTCCATCCATAGTTCTTCAGGCACTCCGTCCACCAAATCTAGGTCCTTAAATCTGTTCTTCACTTCCAATGTGTATTCATAAGGGATTTGGTTTAGATTATACCTGACTAACCCAGTAGTTTTTCCTACTTTCTTCAGTTTAAGCTTGAGTTTTGCTATTAGAAGCTGATGATCAGAGACACAATCAGCTCCAGGTCTTGTTTTTGCTGACTCTATAGAGCTTCTCCATCTTTGGCTGCAGAGAACATAAGCAATCTATTTTCGGTAATGCCCATCTGGTGATGTTCATGTGTAGTCGCCTCTTGTCCTGTTGGAAAAGAGTGTTTGTGATGACCAGCTTGTTCTCTTAACAAAACTCTATTAGCCTTCACCCTCCAAGGCGACTATAGACCAAGGCCAAACTTACTTGTTGTTCCTTTTATCTCTTGACTCCCTACTTTAGCATTCAATTCCCCTATAATGAGAAGGACATATTTCTTTGGTGTCCGTTCTAGAAGGTGTTGTAAGTCTTCATAGAATTGGCATTTCAGACTCTTCAACATTGGTGGTTGGTACATAAAGCTGGACTACTGTGATGTTGGAAGGTCTGCCTTGGATTCGTATTGCAATATTCTCATTTTTTTAGATTGTATCACAGTACAGCTTTTCCCACTGTTTTGTTGACTACGAGGGCTACTCCATTTCTTCTAAGGGATACTTGCCCACAATAGTAGATATGATAATAATCTGAACTGAATTCCTCCATTTCTGTCCATTTTAGTTCACTGACGCCCAGGATGTCGATGTTTATTCTTGCCATCTCCTGTTTGACCACATCAAGCTTACCAAGGTTCATAGATCTTACATTCCAGGTTCCTATGCAGTATTTTTCTTTGCAGCACCAGACTTTCCTTTCACATCCAGGCACATGTGCAGCTGAGCGTCCTTTCGGCTTTGGCCCATCCACCTCTTTAGCTCAGGAGCTACTTGTCCTTGTCCTCCACTCTCAGTAGCATGTTGGACGCCTTCCAACCTGAGGGGCTCATCTTCCAGCATCATATCTTTTAGCCTTTTGTTTCTGTTTATGGGGTTTTCTTGGCAAAGATACTGGAGTGGCTTGCCAGTTCCTTCTCCCGGTGGATTGCGTTTAGTCAGAACTCTCCATTATGACCTGTCAGTCTTGGGTGTCCCTGCCCAGCATAGCCCATAGCTTCTCTGATTTACTCAAGCTCCTTTGCCATGAGAAGGTAGCAATCTGTGAAAGGGGGGGGTTTCACTTACCTGGGCCTTATTTTGGGTAGGGCTTATATTACGAGGATCCTGAAAAATCATACTAGGGGTTATTTTCAGGTTTGGTCTTATTTTCGGGGAAACAGAGTAAATAAAATCACCCAGAAATATGTGTTTACGTGGTGTATTACCATAAAGGGCCACTAGAGGGAATCAGAGACTGATATAAAATAAAATCACCCAGAAATATGTGTTTACGAGGTGTATTACCAGAAAGGGCCACTAGAGGGAATCAGAGACTGCTATATATATTGTTTCTATACCCACACTTTTGGGCATCTGAGGGAGGGAGGCTTGGAACTGATCTCCTGTACATACCATGGTCCTACTGTACTGCTTCCACTGTATTTTTTCCTTTTGAGTCCCAGTGTTACTCCCCACACCCCTGAAAAGAATTCATTAAAAAGAAAATTGCATCCTCAGAACTTTCAAGGTATACATTTTGCCATTTAGGCAACTTCCTCTATTTTACTCCAGTTTTTAAAAGGCCCTTTTTTGAAAACTAGAGGTGATAGGCCATCAGTTGCCATTTCTACAAAAGGCATTTTAAGGTCTAATACAAGCCAAGAAAGGCAAAGCTTTGTTCATATGACCACCTGTGTCCCCCAAGAGGCTTCACAATGTGTCTACAATTTGCCATTTTAGAGGACAAATTTTAAGGGGTGCTAGAAACAGCTGTCTCAAATGGGTCAGACTCCCTAAGGTCCAAAGAGAGGGAAAAGATCATCCTTCTAGCATACCTAAAAATGCCTATCCTTAGATATAAGGAATCATGGTACAACATACAGTAAGAGTCTTACCATGCAGGCACTCCGTCGACCATCCTCTGTTTTTTCTTGTTTTACCGGCCCTGAAAAACTGCATACCTCTTCTTCAGTGCCAGGCTCTTGCTTAACTTTCACATGGTCAGGCTTGAAACTAATATTGTTCTTCTCAACAGTTCTGCCAGAGGAACCACAGCTGTAAAAAAGGCAAATCTGAATCGCACCTCAAAATAACCTTCCATTATATTTCTCAGAATCACACATTCCTCATAACACAGTGAAAGCTAACTGGGAAAGCACTTCATTGTAAAGTACTAAAACTGTCATTATAGCTATAAAATCACTCTATACTTAACATGAAACAATTGTCATAGTATTCTACCACATACAAACTGAAGTAAGGTATGAAGAATCTTGGAGATATACAAGCTGTTCAAATGTCAGAAAAAATGGCTAAATTGTTGCAATTTACACAATCTGTTCAGAGGAATAATGGCTTACAATTATTTTTGTAATCATTTTTGCTGACAACAAACGCCTTCAAGATTTTTATTTCAAGGCTGAATTTATTTGAAATATTCAAGTACATACATTCCTACAGAGAGCTGAAGGCAACTACATTTGCCTCCATTTATCCTCAAAACAATCTTGTGAGATTCATCAAGCTGAGAGGTCATGAAGTAGTTGAAGTAGTTAAACCCAGGTCCATTCTAACCATTACATTGTACTGTAGAAAGCTGGGGACTGAGTCGATTGTCTCATTATCAAAAAGTGAAAAAGAAAGCATAAGAGTTTTTTCAAGTTGTTCATGAGACATAAGGCTAAACAGTTCAATATCATGACTACAAACAGGTATCTCCATCAGCCTCCTCCCTCCCTCCTCTATCCTCTACATGTCCACAAGGAAGAGATCAAAAGCTTTTTCTTCCTCTTTTAACCCAGAATTCCTCATTACATCTAAACTCAGAAATGACAAAGTATGTAAACTAACTAGGTTCTCCAAATCTTGAAAAGGGACGGAGAAACAGAAGGTCCGGTACTGGACTGCCCCTTGTAATGAGAAAGACTTTGGAAATTATATACAGTAATATTCAGTGATATCAGAGTCAGAAGCAGTTACATGTTTTCTGACATTCAGATCTAGTTATGACTAAAGAATTATTTTTAAACATCAGTAAGATGATCCTCTTGTATAGTTTCTGCATACTCATAAGCCATGAATCCTTATCACATCACATTGCTTTTTATATTATTTTCCAATTAATGACATTATTGGTGCTTTAGATACCCTGGTTTATAATCTCCAACTACAGTATCTCCTTATCAGATCAAATTAGCTACTGCATCTATTTTTTGCTCCTCTGGCTTTCTTTTTGCTGCAATTCCCAGGTTATACAATCAGTTAAAGAAAGTATTTATTCTCTATTAGGTAACACACTCTGAGTGGAGTTCTCTTTTATTTATTTATTTTGGAATGAAATGTGAATTATTTGATACAAATTTTTCTTGTAGACATCTTGTTAGATTTGCTAACTGCGCAGCTATTCAATATAAGCAGAATCTGTGACATTGTAAAAACGCTGACAAAAATGGGCTCTGCAGCAGTACACATGCCTGGCACAAGACTAACTGACACTATAGAACATTGGAACCCTCCATCTTATGAAACATTGACCTAGTACAGAATGCCACTGTCCCAACTAGAGATGCGCATGAACTATGCTTTGGTGGTTCAGTGCAGTGCCCACACAGGTGTTCTGCAGGACACACACACTTCCTTCCCCACCTCCTCCAGGTGATCAACCACTCACTGGCAGCAGTGTGCTTCGGTCCCCCACTCCTCTGGGCAACTGACCACTTAGCAGCAACAGTGTGCCTCCTACGGCAGATATCCACTCAGAAACAGTGCTGCAGGCTGCCCTGCCCCACCACATTGTCTGAGTTCAACTGCCAGAGGAAGTGGAAGAGGGAAGCACACTGCTACCATTGAGTGGGCAATCGCCTTGAGGAGGCAGGGGAGGGAAGTATGCAGCGCCCACAGAACACCTGCGCAGGTGCCGCACCAAAAGGCAGTTTGTGCTCATCTCTACTGCCAAGCTTAAATAGCAAAAGATTTTGTCTAAAAGATGAAGCAAAACTTTACATGCACAATGTGTAAACTGCTAAATGAGCACAAAGGGGCGGTGGTATCAAGCATTCCTCCCTTTACAGTGCAGAAGTTAGAATGACAGCCTTAACTTCTTATTTCATTGTTTTCTAGTACATGAGAGCATTTGTAAAGTTTATTTCTCTATTAAACTGGTACTTTCTGTACCTAAGCAATACATTCAAAGGTTCTGTAAATATCCACAAGACTTTGCCAGCTGTTTTAGAAATGATGTAACTTACCTGCCTCTACTCCCTGTGCTGGAGGTACTAGGGGGCCTCACAGGGGTATGTGAATTGGATAAACCTAAAACAAGACAAACCAGTGTTTAATACTAACAGCATAAACTATATAACTAGTTATCAACATCAGTATAAATCACATTATATACATGAAAGTAGTATGCACTCCTAATTATACAATGGTGCCTCGCTTAGCGATGTTAATTCGTGCAGAAAAAAATCACTGCTAAGCGATAACATCGCTAAGAAAAAATAAAAACCCCATAGAAACGCATTAAAACGTGATTAATGCGTTCCTATGGGCTTAAAACACACCTTTAATTGAAGATCCTCCATAGCGCCGCCATTTTCAGTGCCTCTAAAGTGAGGAATCTGTGCCTGGTAACAGCAGGCGGCCATTCTAAAACCGCTGATCAGCTGGCCGAAAATGGGAGCTTTCCGATTATCGCTTCCCTGCGATCATAGCAAAGCGAAATTTCCCCATAGGGAACATCAAAAAGTGATCACTTTTGCGATCGCAAAAACAGCGTTGCTAAGCGATTTCATCGCCATACAAGCGATCGCTATGCGAGGCACTACTGTATAGTGGAGATACATACTTTAAATAACAACACTTCACTTCGATAAATACTTCAATATTAGTCTCACAAAAGTTCCTCTGATCTCAGCAATTATTAAATTTAATATAAATCTTTCAAGTTCCAATAACCATATAAATGCAAGATTCTTCTGACAACCACTCCAATGAAAATCATACTAAATATTCTGGGAAGCAAAACATATACGTTTTACATTTTAAAATATGTTATGTACCTAAAGACAAGGACCACTGACGGCAAAGTATTAATTGTACATATATATGATGCTTTCAACCCCTTCATGGATTGCTGCCTTGTTGTGGTGAAGGGGCTTGAGTAATTCAGAGAAGCTATGGGCTATGCCGTGCAGTGACACCCAAGATGGACAGGTCATAGTGGAGAGTTCTGGCTAAACGTGATCCACCTGGAGCAGGAACTGGAGATATTAAAGGAACATTTTGTGCAAAGGTGGACATGATAAAAGACAAAAATGGGAGGGACCTCACAGAAGCAGAAGACTTCACGAAGAAGTGGCAAGAATACACAGAGGAATTATACCAGAAAGATCTGGATATCCCGGACAACCCAGATAGTGTGGTTGCTGACCTTGAGCCAGACATCATGGAGAGAGAAGTCAAGTGGGCCTTAGAAAGCATGACTAACAACAAGGCCAGTGGAGGTGATGGCATTCCAGGTAAACTATTTCAAATCTTAAAAGATGACGCTGTTAAGGTGCTACACTCAATATGCCAGCAGGTTTGGAAAATGCAGCAGTGGCCAGAGGATTGGAAAATATCAGTCAACATCCCAATCCCAAGGAAGAGCAGTGTCAAAGAACGTTCCAACTACCATACAATTGCACTCATTTCACACACTAGCAAGGTTATGCTCAAAATCCTACAAGGTAGGCTTCAGCAATATGTGGACCGAGAATTCCCAAAAGTACAAGCTGGATTTTAAAAGGGCAGAGGAACTAGAGACCAAATTGCTAAAATGCACTGGATTATGGAGAAAGCCAGAGGGTTCCAGAAAAACATCTACTCCTGCTTCATTGACTGTGCAAAAGCCTTTGACTATGTGGACCACAGCAAACTATGGGAAGTCCTTAAAGAAATGGGAGTTCCTGACCACCTTATCTATCTCCT